CTTACAACCAAATCAAACGATGGAGGATTCAATGGACCCCAAATATCAGCAGGCAGAACAATTTTGACTTCCAAGGTTTCGGTGGTGTACTGGATGAAGATGTTCTATTTTACCAGTACCCAATCAGATTTTTCCGGCGATTTTTCTCAGACCATCTCGTTGATTTGATTGTAAGAGAAGCCGATCGTTATGCTATCGCAAAGTACTTGAACTGGATCAATCTCGACGAGGGCGAACTACCTTTCCCGGACGAATGGTGCTCCGTACGCTAGAAACCACACAATATTAGTGAATACAGGATGAACAACCTGCGATCAAAATTTTTGCATTATGTGTTTCCACACATATCATCAACGGTGTCCTGTTTAATCCTTCTATGAGTGTTTGTGAACGTTAGAAAATAAATGAAGAAGATCACAATTGAAGTATTTCATGAAAGAGGTCAATAACCCAAGTGCTCCTTCAGCGATCGAGGTCCCACGTACTTATGTTGTTCTCCGTGTTCGAAAACATATGCTCGCAACTTTGTAGCAGAAAAGGATGCAAAATAATCCAGATGGAGCGGAAAAATCATCGTGCTGCACCATGTGCAGCACGCGGCCATACAGCGACGAATGAGCGTGCTGCACATGGTGCAGCACGATGATTTTTTCGCGGTACGCAATGGGTTAAACAGATAGTAACTGACTCGTCCTAGCTGTACGATCATTATCCCTGCAAGCGAGAGGCAAGCTGGGGCGCGGAATGAAGTACCGCCGGAGCAGCATTTCTCACCAACTCTTGCGTACCCGGGAATGGTAACAATCGATGGAAAAGGCCGCACTGGCTGCGCTCTAATCCACCCCCCCCCTCTTACGCCCTGTCGTGCAGGTGTAATGGTTGCTTTAATTACTATTTAAACCTTTCAGAATTCTAGCGCTCTAATTTGTTCTCAAAGCTCCTAGGGATCAAATTCTTTACCCCAAAACCGTTTTTAATAAACATGGTGATCCGAAGCCCCACTTCCTATGGCCTGTACTAGATAAAGGTTCGACTGGTATGGGTCACCACATTATATTAGGTTGTTGCATAAGTTTTTTCCCTGTTTTGATCCTTCCGTATTTCGTTTGCATGGAGGTTGGTATTTCGTCATCACCATGACGTGTACATGATACTCTTTCACCACACTAGCTATCACTCACCCACCCTGCATTTGCAGGCTACAATGCCGCACAATTACCAGTGCAAAACCATGTCACAGTGGTGATTGTGCGGCATTGTGGCCTTCTTCGGGTCCCAGCCCCCGTCCTTCTGGGACGATGGAATCGACAAGCTGCCTGAGCGTTGGCGTCGAGTAGTGGATGGTGATGGTGCATACCTCTAATCTTCAGGCTGGTTCGCTATTGAGATATTCGGGCCTGCTGTAC